AACTGGTGTCTTTAGTTGACCAGCAGACTGCTGAAAAAGAGGAAGAAGAGATGGAATAAAGCCTAAAATCAGGTAAAGTCTCAACTACCACACCAAAGCCTAATCTGGGTGTAGATGACAGGCTGTAATTATAGCAACAGTAAACATGCACCACTGGAGTTCAACACACTGAGAAGACGGGTGACCATGGAGACAGAGTGCTGGGAACATCCACTCATGAATATGTTGTCTTTAACAAGGTTTGTGTTTGAAGAGAGTGAGGACTGTGAGGATGGATGAACTAATCTGTCAGATATGGACCGATTCTAGGGGAGATCTTCATCTTCATTAAATAAATTCCTCAAGAGGAGGACAGCGAAACATCTCAACAACCCCTTGAGTTGAGATCCTTTGTGAAAACAACTGACTGCCACTTTCTCTGCAGCTCTGAGAAAACTCGGAGAGAAAGTCCAGCTGGTCTGCAGCCATGGGAGGATTGACTACACCTTAATGCAGTGGTACCAGAGATCTGCTGGAGGCAGAGCTCTGAAGCAGATCGGACATGAGTCCTACAGCCGTGCAGAACATGAAAAGGACTTTGAGTATCATTTCAGTTTCTCTGGAGATTTGAGTGGAGAGACAGCAAAGAATGTGTCTCTGTTCATCAGCGGTGTACTACTGTGCAGCGAGCGATGCACATCGACAGCAGAGTTGCGTTCTTCATACAAAAACCCAGGATCAGATTCTGTCAGTGGTTTTAAATCAGAGCTAGAATAAGCCCCGCCCATCATCTCACTCAGCATCCACTGTCTTCCTAAAGCTCAGTCAGCTTAGCAGCAGCTCATGACACGGTTGGATTTTCACTAGTGTTAGTAAAGGTAATGGGAGTAAAGTCAACATGATTACTTTGCTGCTTTTGTGTTTTGTCTCAGGTAACCTGGCTCCAGTTAACTAGTACAGTTTAACCTTTTAGACGGATTTCTGTCACAGTTTGCCTTTCTTGTTCCAGGTATTAGTCTGGGTCTTGAGGTCCGCCAGTCTCCCTCTGATCTCTTCACTAATCCTGATGGCAAAGTTCAGATTTTCTGCACACACGATAAAACCGACTTCAGAGTGATGCTCTGGTACCAGAGGTCACCTGGAGACACAGCTATGAAGCTCATCGGATATCTGTACCACAAAGCTGTCTCAATGGAGGACCAGTATAAGGATGGGTTTGACCTTACTGGGGATTTAGGCGGAGATGCGACAAAGAATGGATCTCTGCTCATTAAAAATGTAAAACCTGGACAAAGTGCTGTTTACTTCTGTGCAGCAAGCAGAGCACAATGACAGAAACTCCTTCTGATCGTTACCAAAACCATTTTCTGATATTCTGTGCTTCAGACACCTGCAGCTGTGGGTTTTTCATGTGCTTTTATATAATTGATGAATGTACAGCTTTAATCTGGATTGGGTAGTGGTTAGTACTGTTAACATAATAGTAATTTTCTGTGTGGAGTTTGCTCGTTTTCTTCCTTCCTGTACGCTGCAGGCTTTCACACACAGGTTGTTACGTCCTCTAATGATGGATAAGGAGAAGGACAGGGAGTAACACAGAGGCATGTGTTTCAGGTGTTAAAATAGTAAACAATGATTTTATTAAAAAGGATTTTAAACTGACAAAAAGCTCCAAATCTAAAAGTACTTAAATCATACTGTTAAAATGGCCAAGGGGGTTCGTTTAAAACAGACATCCGAATGCTCCCAAACCTTCCCTAAACAAAGTACACTGACTTAAACACAAGTTTGGGAGCCAAGAGGAAACCAGCACTCTGGTCCCTCGTCTGTTAAAAGCCTCTAAAAGTTGTTAAGCTTCACCAAGCGTAAACAACTAAAACACATTTAAGAGGCATTAAAACACAAACAATTGGAGCACATGAGAGAACTGGCACGGATCCAGTCTCTCCTTTCTCCTGGCAGCTCTCCCTTTTATGCTGCTCCGGAGGTGATCAGCCTAAGTGAGTGCAGCTGTGCAGGTAGGAGGAGGTTGCTGCTGATTGTCCTGCAGAGTCAGCTTTCTGGGACAAAACAGCAACAGCTGTAACACAGGTAATAAACAAAAACATGCAAGCTTGGTTAACTGGTGATAGAACAAGTAAAAAAACAAGTAATCACTTCATTTTCCATCAACACCTCCTCCCAGGAACCTACACTTCCTGCCACGTGAGTTTTTTCATCACTTCCTGTTCTGTTTCATATCCCCTGACCCAGCAGTCGATTCTCTTTCTGGGTGATGACACTGATCTACAAACTTCATGTATTTATTTAAGCTGAAGATTTAAACATATGCTATAAAAGACAAAATTATGTTGCTTTTCATCTTCTGCTACCTGCCAGGTGATTATTAGTATGGATGTAAACTCTTCTGAAGTCACAATTGCCTTGCTCAAAGTTCTCTTCCTGTCTTGTTCCAGGTATTAGTCTGGGTCTTGAGGTCTGCCAGTCCCATTCAGATGTCATCACCATCCCTGGAACAAATGTTCAGATTTTCTGCACACACGATAAAACCGACCGCACACTGATGCTCTGGTACCAGAGGACACCTGGACACACAGCTATGAAGCTCATCGGATATCTGCTCTACAAAGCTGTCACAATGGAGGACCAGTATAAGGATGGATTTGACCTTACTGGAGATGCAACAAAAAATGGATCTCTGCATATTAACACAGCCAGATCTGTACAAACTGCTGTTTACTTCTGTGCAGCAAGCAAAGCACAATGACAGAAGCTCCTTCTGATCGTTACAAGAACTCGAACATTTTTTTAATAATTGTGGTTTTCAATCTGGCTCTTGAGCACCTGCTTGTGTCTTTTTCTTTCTCTTGCATGTCTAAAATGAGCTAACTAACAGTTTTCATCTGCTGTACTCAGTTGTGGAGCCACCTCACCTTTGACCCCATCGCCTTCCACAACAGTACTGAGGTCAGCCAGTGACCATAGAGCTGTCATCCTGAAGTTGGTGGACATGTTTAACTGCCTGAAGACCATCTCAGGACGCCTGCTGGACCAGTTTACATACAGAAACAACAAATGAATGAAGGATGGAGTCAACTTAGAGTTGCGTTACATCCAAAAACATCTTAACCTTTCAGGGACATTTGCTAGGATCCTACTTAAAGACTTCATGTCACCATTTAACTCCATCATCCTCGTCAAAACCGTTCCAGCCTCCACCTGTCAGTGGGTCACAGACCTTCTTACAGAAAGGAAGCATCAGGCAGAATAACATCCAAGATATGGACCTTGACCATCAACACTGGTGTCCCTCAGGGACGTGTGATATCCCCTCTGCTGTTCTCTCTTTGTATTTGAAACTGCACCCAGTTATCGTCTCATCTGGGATTAAAGAGTCTGCAAACAGATGAGAGGAGGAACAGCTGGTCCACTGGTCAGAACATACTTGAGCTCAACCCAATGAAAACTCTAGAGATCACTGTGGACATCAGTATGAGTCCTCTGACCTTTGACCCCATCACCATCCACATAATTTATACGGTGGACTCATTTAGGCCAACATATATGTCCAGCTGAGGATGTTCTTCCAGCAGCATCTCAAGAAGTTTAACCCTCTGGGGGCAGGAGTTGTAGATTTGTAACGTTGAAACCTACCTACCTGGTTGCTCCACATACTTTCTTCATGAGCATTTTTTAACTCAGAAGTACCCTGAAGGACTTAGTTGTTTGTCCTTTTATCAAAGTTTAATTTGAGCCTGAGAGGGTAAACCTGCTGCAGGTAAACGTTAACGTGGCCATAATCCAGTCTGTCTTCTCAGTCTGCTCCAGGCTGGTTTGGCTCAACGGTCAAAGAAACATTGCAGAGATGATCACTAGGTCCAACCTGCCCTCTATTCAGGTTTTGAATCCTTAAGCCCTCCTGCTGTCCTATTGGGTGACCCCCTCCAGGACAGGAGATGGTTGTGCAGAGTTATCTGAGTGACTTTTCCTAGGATGAAATTCTCAGGAAATAAAACAAAAACATTGTTTAATCAGAAGAGTTTAGGATTCTTTGCGTTTTCAGGGATCAACACACTTCGTCTCAATTCAGACAGAGTCAGGTTTATAAAAAGTAAGAATTTATTTTCTAAACAATTAAAAACATGACAAGTTAACTAAGACTACTGTGATGGATGAATCTAAGAGAATGGGATGTGATGTATGGTGATTGGATGGTGTGTGTTTATCAGAACCTTGTACAGAAGAAATGAGTTCTGGGTGTGAAAAGAATTTGGTTTACATTAAACTATGAAGTTGGTTCTTATCAAAACAGCATCAGGCGCAATCTTGCTGTGTCTACCTCACCCTTTCTTTGGAGACCCTCTTTGCGGATCCGGAGGTCAGGGAGGTCGGATGACCTCTGGGCACCGAGGTTCAGTAGATTAACCGCAGCACCGACTCTCCAGTCCAGAGATGTTGCCAGGCACACAGGTTGGGACTAGTTTGCGTCTAGAGCAGCTGTTACTGAATAGCTGAAGGAACCATTTTGCTGTGTCAGCTGTAGGCAGCTTTTAGCTTTTCGAAAGCTTGTCAGGAGATGCTGTGGTTACAGAGTTTCCTCCGGTGGCCAGTCCGGAGTTCTACTCAAACTAACAGAATGCTCGAATCACTCCGTAAGTGATCCTGTTTTAATATTCTCATATTATGATTTACTTGGCCAATCGGGACGTGCCATGTTAAGACGTGTTGACAAACCTCAGATCATCACGCCTTCTCAGATACAGGATGCTCTGATTTGTGGGTAAGAAAATATCTATGTGCAGTGACGTTAACTTTAATTTATCTCTAATGAACATTGTGTCTGAGCGTAGATAATGATTCACTTGTTAAACCAAACATTACTGATCATAACATCAAAATGTTTCATTGTAATGTTAAAAATTAAAATTCATTTCAACCTTGTTAACTTAGGCACAGATCAATCAAAACATTTCATGTTACCATATTGTTCATTTCATTTCATGATTAATTAACTCAAATGAGCTGAAAATGTTCACTTTATTCAGAGGCATGAGGAATCCTGTAGAAGTGATAAGGGAAGCTTAGGCCTTGAAATGGGAACAGTTTGTTGACAACATGATATCATGTGTTCAGAGCTGCAGAATCTTCTGGGCTTGTTGAAAGATAGAATGTAAAATCCACCTTAGAGAATGGAATTTATGTCTGCAGATGACCGGTGGCATGTAGGTCAATATGTAGGTGAAAACTGACCATTGCTGGACGTTACAACATGCATTAACATTTTATTGGTGTAAAACCAGCAAAGTCGCTCCTCTTTTCACCAGCAACTCCTCCCTCCCAGTCGTCTACTCTTCCTGCTGCACCTTGAGGGTTTCGTTAGATGATCATTTGATTGTCATTCTGAAACACTGATCTTCAATGAGCGGCAAACTTCTGCGTTTTAATTTAGGCTGAAGATTTGAATAAATACAGAGAAAAGACAACATGTTTCATTATCTCCTCCTCTTTTACCTGCCAGGTGAATAATCGTTAAAGGCATCATTGCATTCTAATGTGTCAGTGTAATCTGATGTTCTCTTCCCTTTATGTTCCAGGTAGTAGTCTGTGTCTTGAGGTTCGTCAGTCTCACTCTGATCTCATCACCAAACCTGGAAAAAAGGTGGAGATTTTCTGCTCTCATGATAAAACTGACTTCTGGATAATGCTCTGGTACCAGAGGTCACCTGGAGACACACCCATGAACCTGGTTGGATGTATATACAACAAAGCTGTGACCTTGGAATATAAAACTGATTTCAACATTTCTGGAGATCTGAGTGGGAACACAGCAAAGAACGCCTCTCTAATAATTAATGCTGCAGAACAAAAACACAGTGCAGTTTATTACTGTGCAGCACGAGAAGCACAACGAGAAAACTCCTCTTTCATCTTTACAAAAACCAAAGACAATTTATCACAATCTGTGGTTTTCAATCCATAAAGAAACTAAACTGATGTCAAACACCTGTTTGTGTGGTTGTTTTGGTTCGCTGTCAGAAAAATGTACATTTTTTATTCTTTAACAGGAAAAATACAGATAATACTAAAATAATAAAATATGTAAAGCAGCTCCAACCTAAAGCTTTAGAGTTTTATTTAAATGTCCAGCTGTTTTTCTAGTTGGTTTAAATTTTGTGTCATTTTCTGCTTTGAAGAAAAAACTATTCACTATATTACAAATTCTGCTTCCTAATGCACTTCCTTCATATATTTTAAGTTTTTGGATTTCTCTGCAGACCAGGTGTTAGTTTTGCGGAGACTTCCATCTAAAACTCAGTTCCATATTTAAGATGATAACTTTATGTTTACAGAAATCAGATTTCGTCCTTCAGTTTTATCCCTCTAAACAGCAGCTCAACCACTTCCTGCAGGACACTTTAGTCCTTAAAGCTGACTGAATTTAAACTTAACTGAAATGAAACCTAATTTATACTAAAATACTTAAATAAAATTAGAGGAGACTCAAAAGACAAACCAAAGGTCTAGTTTCCAACAGGAAGCCACTCCCCTCCTCAGCCTTCATCACAGAGAACCACTACCAGCCGAGACTCAGTTCCTGCAGCAGATGTTGCTCTAACTTGTCTTTTCTCTTCATAATGATTAGATTTCTCCTCTGCTGTTTCCTCACAGGTATTAAATGCTTTTGGGAATAACAACGTGCTGAACTGATGTCCTGTACTAACTCATCTGTGCCCCTGACAGGAGGATTTTCATTAGAGGTTCAGATCCACCAAACTCCTTCTGCTCTCATCAGAAAAGTGGGAGAAGACGTGCAGCTGGTGTGCAGTCACGGACACATCGACTACAGGGTGATGCTGTGGTACCAGTGGCTGGCTGGAGACCTGGCTCTGAAGCTGATCGGATACGGATACTCAGAATTTAGAAATGACAGCGTGGAGGAGACGTTTAGAAATAGTCGCTTCAGCTTAGCCGGTGATTTGAGTGGAAACAAAAACAGAAGCGGTTCACTTTTCATTAAGAATCTGAGCCCACAGGAACACACAGCAACATATTTCTGTGCTGCTAGAAAAGCACAGTACACCAAACACCCACCTGCTCCTCACAAAAACCACCTTCCTGCTGACTGGCTGCTTGGTTGTGTTCTGAGCTCTGAGTTCGACTTAAACACAGCTGACTTTGGAGTGCAGGCACCGCTCACACCCGTTTATGCATCATTCTCTGGAGCAGGAGCCACCAACTCCAGTCCTCGAGGACCGCCATCCTACACGTCTGAGCCATTTTCTTCCTCCAACACACCTGATTTAAATAATAAGTGATTTAGAAACTTCTGCAGAAGTGATGAGATGATTAAACTATTGATTCAGGTGTTCTGCAGCAGGAAGCTTGTAATACATGCAGGATGGTGGTAAATCTTTACATTCTTTAATTAATATTATTAACAGGTCTCTTTTGCCTTTTACTGAGTGAGCTTCTGTTTTTATTTGAGTTTTCCACTTAAGAACAAACCCAACGTTATCTAAACCAGGGTAACCACGATGCAGCACCGAGGGCCATTTGTGGCACTTTAAGTGATTTTACAGCAGTTTTTACAACAAGATCTAAATGTTTGCTGTTGCATAAATGTGACAAATAAAGATTTTTTCTGTTTATTTAAAACTGAAATCATATTAAAGCTACTGCGACGTCTCTACAATCTAAAGAGACGTGTCTAACTGAAGCCCTCTGGGTGAACAGGATAAATATGTAATCATGAGCTCTGGTATTTAAGGCAGCCATCTTTTCCTGCTCCACCTTCTAATGAGCAGAAACCGCCTCCAGAGACTCCAGTCGCTTCCTGAGATTCAACATGAAGCCTGAACTCCTCTTCTGCATCGTCACCGTCAGCTGGATTAAAGGTATCTCTAGACTCTCAACATAACTCTGCAGAAAAACTAAAGAAACTCACTCATTAAGTATTTTATATAATTTTGCAGGAGTTACTCTCAGCAAAGACGAGCAGGTCTTTCAGTCTCCAGCTGAACTTTTGGGTCAACCGGGCGATGAAGTCAGCCTGACCGTGGCTCATGAGATCCCGTCCTACGACACGGTTCTCTGGTACCTGCGCTCACCAGGAGACACGGCCCTAAAGCTCGTCGCCTACATTTATTATAAAATCCCAAAAGTTGAGCCTCCCTTTGAAAGCCACTTCAAAGTGAGCGGAGATGGAGAGAAGAAAGCTCATCTTCACATCCTCAACCTGACTCACTCAGAAGACAGTGGAGACTATTTTGGAGCAGCAAGTCTGCACGGTGATAAAGAAAGTGACTTTCTAATACAAAAACCTCAGTAATAAGATAGCAGGAAACCTCTGAAACCAAGCACTGCTGCAGTAGAAAACATTTAAATGTGCTCAAACACATAAACACATTTATGGGGAAAAGAGGAAACTGTTCATAATTATTCTAATAATATAAATTAAATCTGTTTGTGTCAGTTTCTTTAAAGACTTTACCCAGAAACCATCTGCTTTGTGTGAATCTGAACAGCAGAGAGCACTGAGAACACACAGATGGCATCAAGCCCTGCCCCCTTTAATACAGGCTGATAAAAGACACCCCCTCCCCCCCAGTTGGTTTTTCACACATCCCTCTGCATTTGTACATCTGAGTCACAAACAAGTCCAAGTTTCATGTCCACTAATTTAATTTATGTTTAAAATATTAAACATTTTACATGGTTTTTGCTTTTTTGCAGGTAAGAATTAAAATACGTCTGATTTCTGCATCAGAACTTCCCATCAGTCTTCTTTCAGTTTTCTCATTTCTCTTCCAGATGTTGTTGCACCATCATCGCTTGTGATCCAGCAATCACCTGAAAATGTCCTGGTACAGACAGAAAAAGAGGCCCGTCTCCATTGTTACCATGGAGACAACAGCCATCCCTACATGCTCTGGTACCAGTCAAAGGCAGGCCAAAGGATGATGGACCTGATCAGACTTCTTTGTTATGAAAACCCAAATCTGGAGAAGAATTTTGAGAAGCGTTTCAACATGACGGGCCACTCCAAAGGCAAAGCACAGCTGGTACTCTCCTTAACCTGACAGATACAGCACGGTACTTCTGTGCAGCGAGTCAGCACAGCGTTTAATTTCCTCTGGATCCTTTTACAAAAAGACGGTGACGCATCAAACGTACACCTGCATCATGATAGAGAAACACTCTCCTCTCAGTGCTTCGAGGAAAAATCTCAAGATTATAAAACATTTTATTTCCTCCATATCATTCATTCTCGCCATTGGCTGAGTTGATGACATCATTTCCTGCAAAGAGGTACAGTGTGTAAAAACATTTGATTCTTCAAAGAACCCTTCAAACATTTCAAAAAGGCATTGCTTCATTATGGCAGTGCGCGCCCAGCTGCAGGGGAGAGGGGGACACTGCAGCAGCTATGTCGGGATCATGCACAGAAAACCAACACACTTTCTTTCAACTGTCTGCACAGTTTATTTACTGTTTCTGTTGATCTGCTACTTCCTGCAGTGAGCATCTCTCAGGGAATCGAGAGCACTCTCTCCTTGTCCGGTGGATATATCTAGAACAGACCTGATCAGTCACTTGCAACAGCTGTGTCTTCTTGCTCCACCGCTGCCATGTCACCCGTCTCCCTCTCCCCCGCAACTGTATGCACAACGCCAAAGTCATCAACGATTTCCAGCTTTCAGTCCAACACACACATTCAGTTAGAACAAGGCAAGCAACCCAAGGGGAAGGAGAAGAATTTTTCTAAACCAGCAAGGCTGCCAGAGGGAGGATCTGCACCATCCCCTGCACAATGTTTAGAGGGAAAAGGAGAATTTTCACGTCAACAGCGAGGCTCCCAACATGCAGAGCATTTTATCTTATATGTCCCCAAACAGCTACAGTATTTCAAGATGGTGCATGATCATGAAGCGTCGATCACATATGTATATGAAAATGTACAACTTCAAGCTAATAGGAAGATTTAGAAAAGACGCTGGTGAGAACTAAATAATGAAGAAAAGACAGCATTCAGGCTATTTCCTACATTAGCTTCTGATAGGACACAGATGGGGAAACGCTTAGATTAGAAAAGGCTAACAATTGCATGCCCTAATGTCAAGTTAGTTTTATCGACTCACCAATCTTGGCTTGTGACCATGAAGGCTGTTGTTGGTTCATCATCCAGGAGAAAGCAGAACACATCTTGGCTAGAAAAAGCTAACTGTTAGCATTAGCAACACAGCACAACTTCTTCAGGCCTGTGTTATTTGTGCAGATGAAACATCAACGTTGCAGAGTAAACAGAGTCAAAGTCGGATGTCTGCTAGCTAATCAGAGGCAAGATATCAGACTACAAAACTAGCCGTCTGAAGTTCACCTCTGCTGTGACTAAATTCGAATTCCCGACATAAGAGCACAAGAGCTTTTTACCTCACAGAGATAAACTCACAAGATATTCATTTATACTAGAAATCACGAGCCTAGAGTTCTAGATGGACAGTAGCAGAAGCAAAACGATTTTGCTCAGCATGTCTATCTAGCCATGCTGCGTAGGAACCTCAGCAGGCCGGACCAGTCTTGTGTCTTGTCAGTCACAGCGCTATTTCAGTTTGGTAGGCGAGATGTTACTGCGACTGAGCGACAAAACAAAGATGGAAACTGCTCATTTGAAACGACCTTGGCATCAACTTTGGACTACTAAGACTTGGGCTTTTCTTTGAGTCAAGAGCAGATACAGGTAAGCAATTTGATTTAGAAAAAGGATGTATTTGTGTCTTCTTCAACAGTGTATGGAAGATTACCCCATTAACTTACATCGGTAGCAGATAGAACATCATGTTGTCCGTTGTCCAATAGCATGCAGGGACCGTTTTAAGTGTGAGTTCAATGTTGTGGAATCAATTCACCATCTCAGGTGAAAAGGGCTCCAGAAATCACTCGCTGGACCACAAGGTTCTTAGGGATTTGTTGGCCCCGTTGCTTCAGCTGGCGACCATTTCCTCGTACTGGTACAACTTTAGCCACTGCAGGATTATTTGACCCTATCATCTCTAACATAACCTCGGCATACGTGTACTCTTCTGTGAGGCTGGAGATGGGTTGTTCAAGAATACCTTTGCCAATGCAACTGCACTGGAGAAGACCAAGCCACTTCTTCACGTAGGAGCCGAGCAGTCACTCCAACTTTTCCACCTTTGCCACATCATACAGAGTTATGGGCCACATGAAGCGTTGAAGAAGGTCAAACTGTGGACACCAGACTTTCAGTTTGCCAGGAAGTGTAATCTCATCAATACTTTTCAGGCCACTAACTACATCTTTCCTTAACTGTGTCACTTGGTCACTGTTCTTAAAGGTCCTTTGTTGCCCAGATGTATTCTCAAGTCTTTGGAGGAAGTAACCTTTGCCCATCCACGTGGATCCGTAGCTTCTGTCCTGCTGCTGGTGTTGTGATCTACAATATGCAACTCTTCTTCATTACCTGTTCTGTTCTTAAGTCTGTTACCATGTTATCCATTGTTTAGTCATCTTCCATCCCCAGTCTCTCTGACCCAAAGGGTAATTTCTTCTTAATCAATGGTAGTCTGTAATTGGTGGAAAACCCTTCTTCTTCCGGCTCTTGGAGAGTACAGATGCTTTTTTCTCCTCTCCCTCCCTCTCTTATCCCAAGGCTCTTTGTCCTGTCTTGTGCACAGCGTTTTCTGCATTTTGTTCTGGAAACTGGAACTGGAAATTATTAAAAATGGATCTGGATTCATGTTTTTGTTCCAGTCAGCTCCTCCTTGAACCGTCACCTTATCGTGGTGGAGGAGTTTGAGTGCCCTAATGATCCTAGGAGCTATGTTGTCTGGGGCACTTAGTGCCCCTGGTAGGGTCTCCCATGACAAATTGGTCTTAGGTGAAGGGTGAGACAAAGAACGGTTCGAAGGATCTTTCATGGCGGTTAAAACGAAGAGTCGGAGTACCCGGCCCGGAGGGTTACCGGGGTCCCACCCTGGAGCCAGGCCTGGGGTTGGGGCCCGTGAGCGAGCGCCTGGTGGCCGGGCTTTCGCCCATGGGGCCCGGCCGGGCCCAGCCCGAACCGGATACATGGGCTCGTCCAACTGTGGACCCACCACCCGCAGGAGGAACATGAAGGGTCCGGTGCAATGTGAATCGGGTGGCAGACCAAGGCGGGAGCCTTGGCGGTCCAATCCCCGGACAAGAAAACTAGTTTTTGGGACATGGAACGTCACCTCGCTGGCGGGGAAGGAGCCGGAGCTTGTGGCAGAGGTTGAGCGGTACCGGCTAGATATAGTCGGACTCACCTCGACACATTGCATTGGCTCTGGAACCCGAGACCTGGAGAGGGGTTGGACACTCTACTTTGCTGGAGTTGCTCCGGGTGAGAGGCGGAGGGCTGGGGTTGGCTTTTTGTTAGCCCCGAGACTCTCTGCCTGTGTGTTGGGGTTTACCCCGGGGGACAAGAGGGTAGCTTCCTTGCACCTTCGGGTCGGGGAACGGGTCCTGACTGTTGTTTGTGCTTATGGGCCAAATATCAGTTCAGAGTACCCACCCTTTTTGGAGTCCCTGGGACGAGTGCTAGATAGTGCTCCATCAGGGGACTCCATTGTCCTGCTGGGGGACTTCAGTGCTCACGTGGGCAATGACAGCTTGACCTGGAGGGGTGTGATTGGGAGGAACGGCCCACCTAATCTGAACTCGAGCGGTGTTTTGTTATTGGACTTCTGTGCAAGCCGCAGTTTGGCCATAACGAACACCATGTTCGAACATAAGGATGCCCACCGGTACACTTGGTACCAGGGCAGCCTAGGTCACAGGTCGATGATAGATTTAGTAGTCGTATCATCTGACCTGCGGCCGTATGTTTTGGACACCCGAGTGAAGAGAGGGGCGGAGCTGTCAACTGATCACCACCTGGTGGTGAGTTGGATCAGATGGCAAGGGAACATGCCGCGTAGACCTGGCAGACCCAAACGCATAGTGAGGGTCTGCTGGGAACGCCTGGCAGAAGAACCTGTCAAGACGGTCTTCAACTCCCACCTCCGGCAGAGCTTTGACCACGTCCCGAGAGCAGTGGGGGACATTGAGTCCGAGTGGGCCTTGTTCCACTCTGCGATTGTCGAGGCGGCTGTTGCTAGCTGTGGTCGTAAGGTGGCCGGTGCCAGTCGTGGTGGCAACCCCCGTACCCGCTGGTGGACACCAGAGGTTCGGGGAGCCGTCAAGCTGAAGAAGGAGGCCTACAGGGCGTGGCTGGTCAGTGGGTCTCCGGAGGCAGCAGACAGGTACCGGATAGCCAAGCGGGGTGCAGCAGTGGCAGTTGCCGAGGCAAAATCTCGGGCGTGGGAGGAGTTTGGTGAGGCCATGGAGAAAGACTATCGATCGGCTCCAAAGAGGTTCTGGCAAACTGTCCGGCGCCTCAGGAGAGGAAGGCAGCAACTCGCTCACACTGTTTACAGTGGGGATGGGGAGCTGCTGACGTCAACTGAGGCTATAGTCGGACGGTGGAAGGAATACTTTGAGGAGCTCCTCAATCCCACCAATGCGCATTCCGAGGAGGAACCAGAGCTGGGAGGCCTGGGGATGGACTGTCCGATCTCGGGGGCAGAAGTTGCTGAGGTAGTCAAACAACTACACAGCGGCGGAGCCCCGGGGGCGGATGAGGTTCGTCCTGGGTATCTCAAGGCTATGGATGTTGTAGGGCTGTCATGGTTGACACGTCTCTACAACATTGCGTGGTCATCGGGGGCAGTTCCTAGGGAGTGGCAGACCGGGGTGGTGGTCCCCATCTTTAAGAAGGGTGACCATCTGAAGATGTTTGGATTCCAACTATAGGGGGATCACACTCCTCAGCCTCCCTGGAAAGGTCTACTCCAAGGTACTGGAGAGGAGGGTCCGATCGATAGTTGAATCTCAGATAGAGGAGGAGCAATGTGGTTTTCGTCCTGGCCGTGGAACTGTGGACCAGCTCTATACCCTTGCAAGGGTGATGGAGGGGGCATGGGAGTTTGCCCAACCAATCCACATGTGCTTTGTGGATTTGGAGAAGGCTTATGACCGTGTCCCCAGGGGCACCCTGTGGGGGACGCTCCAGGAGTATGGGGTGGGTGGGTTTCTGTTAAGGGCCATTCAGTCCCTTTACCAGAGGAGCGTGAGTTTGGTCCGCATAGCCGGTAGTAAGTCGGACCTGTTCCCAGTGAGGGTTGGACTCCGCCAGGGCTGCCCTTTGTCACCGGTTCTGTTCATCACTTTTATGGACAGAATTTCTAGACGCAGCCGTGGTGTGGAGTGTGTCGAGTTTGGTGGCAGGAGAATCTCGTCTCTGCTTTTTGCGGATGATGTGGTCCTCCTAGCTTCATCCAGCTCTGACCTTCAGCTCTTGCTGGGTAGGTTCGCGGCCGAATGTGAAGCGGCTGGGATGAGGATCAGCACCTCCAAATCTGAGACCATGGTTCTCGACCGGAAAAGGGTGGCTTGCCACCTCCGGGTCGGGGGAGAGGTCCTACCTCAAGTGGAGGAGTTTAAGTATCTCGGGGTCTTGTTCACGAGTGAGGGTAGGAGGGATCGGGAGATCGACAGGCGGATTGGTTCGGCGTCTGCAGTGATGCGGACGCTGAGCCGATCTGTCGTGGGGAAGAGGGAGCTGAGCCAGAAAGCCAGGCTCTCGATTTACCGGTCGATCTACGTCCCAATCCTCACCTATGGTCATGAGCTTTGGGTAATGACCGAAAGAACGAGATCGCGGATACAAGCGGCCGAAATGAGTTTCCTCCGTAGGGTGGCCGGGCTCAGCCTTAGAGATAGGGTGAGGAGCTCGGACATTCGGGAGGGACTCGGAGTAGAACCGCTGCTCCTCCGGATCGAAAGGAGCCAGTTGAGGTGGTTTGGGCATCTGGTCAGGATGCCTCATGGACGCCTCCCCGGGGAGGTGTTTCGGGCATGTCCTGCCGGCAGAAGGCCCCCAGGTCGACCCAGGACACGTTGGAGAGGTTACATCTCCAATCTGGTCCGGGAACGCCTTGGGGTCCTGCCGGAGGAGCTGGTGGACAAGGCCGGGGAGAGGACGGCCTGGAGCTCCCTAGTTGGGATGCTGCCACCGCGACCCGGACCCGGATAAGCGGAGGAAGACGACGACGACGACGACGACGACGGATCTGGTCAGTTGGTCTCTCAACGCGACACGGACAGAGCCAGCTGGGTATATCATGGACTCCTGGAAACAGTGGAACCTGATATGCCTATCTCAACTGTTTGTAGAGGATTCTGAAGGTGTTTGGATATTCGTGGTTTTGGTGTCGGGATTCCTGCAGTTTGACCTGAGCGGTTACCTGGCTTACCGGAAAATTAACGAGCTTTCTAGGAATATTGGCTCAATCCCGGAGCTCAGAGATGGAATGCATTGTGCTGTGAATGCACAAACTCATATAATTGTCGAGATTAGTCGTAAGCTTGGAACTTTGGTTGAGATTCCGGTCTGACCCAGAAGGTGGATTCCATCAAGTATAGAGTTGTGGACGGATCAGCTCGGATTGGGATAGGTTAATTACACCATTATTGGATCTAGAGGGGTTGATGACCAAAGAACTCTAAGGCAGAGAGGAAGTATCTCTGTCTGTCCCAAAACAATCCTTATCTGAACCTGGTGCCCTTGGAGCCTGTGAGGTTGAAGTCCCCCCCCCCCGACGAAATGTAGAATGTGGCTGTCGCTATGATAACTCTTCTCCTATCCCAGCCTGGGCGGGACTGTGACAGGTGAAGCCCGTGGAACCGTATCCAGGAGTCACTGTGCTCTCCAACCCATTGTCTCCCTCCCCTGTCCAAACTGAGGTGAAAAGCGCTGCTCTGCGGCTGCATGCACCAAAGTGAGGAGAGTCCCAACTGAGGAGAGTCCCAACCCTACCTCCCCACCTAGTGGACACTTATGTTGTGTAATGTCTGAAGTCTGTGAGCATATCTGTCTGAGGTGTTTTTTTTGCATAGCAAAGCTACCCTTTCTGTTGAGGGTATCTCTGAAGTGCCTTTTGTCCCTCCCCCTGAATCTATCCTCATATAAACCCTTTTGATCTATTACGGTAGCGCGACTCAGGTTGCGAATGACCACAGTCACCAGTTCTTGTCATGTATGTATGTACGTCTGATTTCAGAATTGTGTGTACTGAAACTCTAATTTCCCTCTGGGATTAATAAATTATTATTGAATTGAATTGAATTGAACATGCACCTTATGCGCTGAAACCCTGCTCTCATAAAGCTAACCCATGAAAGCCCCATTGGAGTTTATTCCTTCCTGTCAGCTGTCTTTTCAAACCATCACAAGGTCTTTATTTAGTTGTCTGCTGCCTCTTCACAGCAATTAGAGGAATCTCGGAGAGTTAGATTGTTTCAAAGGACTAGATGTTACAATCCCTGCTTGCAGCGTTGAATCTGCAGTATAGTCACCTGAATGAAAGCATCTCTCTGTGGTCTCAAGTGGCACCCTCCTTCCTCAACATTGTAGATGAACTGAGAGTTTCAATAAAAGAATCTGCCTTTGAGAAAAGTGTTGGTGCAAATTGTTGTGTGTAGATCAAACCAACAGGTGGAGACATAGAGCATAGGAAGCTGCTTCCATCATTGGGAAGTGATTAACCCGCCCCACCCTCCTCCTTCTAGCCTGATCAGGTCTTTTCTCACACCACTGCTTGACAATGTCTTCACTTGTGCAGACCTTTGGTTTTCTCTTCATCTGGTGTTCCTGTAAGATCTTAATCCAGAATTGAAACAATAGCTCTAACCTTGCTCTGACTCTGTTTTGTTCTCTTTATGTGCCACAGGTCAGGTGAGCGCTGTTACATTTCACCACAACTCTCCTCTCATTGTGGCGGAGAACAGAACGGTCCAGATTACCTGCAGGCATGATGATAGCACCCTTCCACAGATGCTCTGGTATCAGCAGAAACAGGACACAAACTCAATGACCCTGATCGGCTACGGATATGAAACTTCTCAGAACTATGAAGGTCAATTTGGAAAACAATTCAAGCTGACCAGAAAGAGCGCAGTCGAAGGAGCTTTGACCTTACTGAAAGCCAATGTGTCCCACTCAGCTGTTTATTTCTGCGCTGCCAGCACACAGTGATGTGGTTTAATATCTCTCCCTCACTAGAAACCTTCATTGTTTTCCTGCAACATGAGTTTGTCTTTTCTTTTTCACAGACTGGAGCTGCAGCCCAAACCTGCAGGATGTCACCAGCTATGATCATATTCCTTCTTATATTGTCTCCATGTAGGAAATTATTGTTTTTAAACATAAATGTGTGATTTTTATTTATAATGTTCCACTGCTCTGCCACAATGATTATTTTTGTCTGAATCGCCCACAGATCAAGTTAGGAGCGTGACTTTCCAACCATCTCATCCCAAAATAATCAGCATCATGGACAACGTGAACATTGAATGTATTCATGATGATAGTAATCTTGTTGTGATGCTCTGGTACCAGCAGACCGAACAGATGAGTCTAATAGGATACGGCTACATTGGGAGTGAAGCTGTTACGGAGAAGGACTTTGGAAGTCGGTTCACAATTGCGAGAAAAGACACCCTAACAGGAAGTCTGACTATCAGCTCTGTCAACGTGTCAGACTCTGCTGTGTATTTCTGTGCTGTTAGCACACAGTGATGTGGTTTAATGAAACCTCATTACGAAAAATCCTGAGATGTTTCCTCACAGCAGCTCTCAGCTCTCAGTACACTCATACAAGGTAGTTTCAGCTATAGTTCAACCAGATATTTACCAGGTGAGTTATAAGATTTAACAGGTTATTTATTTTATTTTGCCACAAAAACAAACAATCATTTATGAACAAGAGTCTGCTTCTAGACCTGCAGAAGGAGAGAGAGAGAAAAAGAAAAGGGACACAAAGCAATACAACAGGAGCAAGCTATCACTGTGTCAACCTGATGAGGAAATATAAAATAAACATTGTTTTACTGAACAATCACACAATAACAAATCACAGTGCATTTAGTGCCAACCAAAGCAGGTATGTGATGAACCTGCCCAAGTCCATACTTATGAGAGCACCATGTGAGCACCTGTGTGTGTACACGCACTTGTATATGTAAGGTTTCTCTATAGGAACGTCCAATAGAGAGTGTGAGGGGCCACAGATCTGCTCCCCCCACAAAAAAAAAGATGCATAGGAGACAGAAGGAGCTCCAAGTCTCAGAGATTCAGGAGCTGCCCCAGAACGCAGGGACCCCAGGGAAACTGTGACCAGAAAAGCCCCTGCACCCCTCGAGACGCGCAGAGGACTGCCCCCGGGGGGTCACAACCAGCAGCCGGCGGAGTCCCGGGGGATATCAGCGGCAAACCCACAGGCGCAGCCTCCCACCCCCAAGCTGGCCAAGCCCGGAACCCAGCGACCTGGGACCCAGGGGAGACCAGCCCCGCCGGGGACCCAACAGAGCCCATGGACCCAGATCCCACCAGGCAGCCACTGGGATTTATCAGGCAGACCCTGACCCGGGAGCCGCGAACACTCAGGCAGACCAAGGCACCACACTCCACACACTAAGTGTGACAGGGGGAGGGGAGGCGAAGATGTATAGCAGCAAAAGAAGTCCCAGGTGAGGGGAGGAGTCAAAGGCCCCACCTTACATATACAGTCATACACAAACACAGTTACACACTCCCTCCCTCATGCTCACACACACACACCCTATTCACTCTGGTCCCGGTACTGCTGCACAAAGGGTAAAAGCATCACCGGTTCCCAGTGTTCGGCCCTTCCTGCTGGGGTGATGGTGAGCAGGCTACACAACGCCGAGCAAAGCGACCCAGACCCCAGCCAGACGGCCAGATCTCCCTCATAGCCTCCAGCCCCGGGAAGCCAAGCAACAACAGAGGTGTGCTAAGACCCCTAGTCTCCCTCCGCCTGCTCCAGTACAGTGTTAGTGTGTGTTGATGAGGTGTATTCCATGGCTGTGGTGAGCGGGCAATGCAGGCATCATCTGGCCATGCCAGCTGATGCCACCACACCACCCCTCTTCCCCCCACAGCCCTCTGTGTCCTAGTGCAGTTTAAAAATGGAAGTGGGCACCAGCACTTGGGATGAGGCTGAAAGATCCCCTTGCCAAATGCTGTTGTATGTGCTCACTCCCAAGGCCCTAAGTGTGTATTTGCGTGGAATGTCATTGGGGGAAGTGTATAAGGTGCAGATAAAACTGGGGGGCAGGTTGCCACAGGAATGTGGAAATGGGGTCCATACCCGCACTCCCTGACTTGCTCTTTTCTCTCCTTATCTTGATCTTTTGTTTATTTTACTCTTTCAACTCAGAGAATCTCTGGATCCGGATCCATCATCAGTATTAAACAGAGTTCAGAGTCCTGCATCCATCAGCTGTAACCATTCAGTTGCTGCATCTGACACAATATTATGGTGCTAGAAGCAGATGGACCACTCTGCTTTAAAGTTAATAGGAAATGTGAGATTTATTAACCCAACTAGTGAGAAGGAAATGGAATGTGGAAATGGGTCCATACCCACACCCCCTGACTTGTCCACTCCCCAAAGTCCTATGTGCATGACTGTGTGATGATGTGAGGGAGCAGGAGGAGAAAAATGTGTGGGGATGGGGAGGAATGGCTGGTTGACCTAAGCCCTCCAGGGAGCCAGCTCCCCCACTGGCCCCAATAGGCACCTCCATTGCCAAATTGCCACCCAGGGCATGGAGACTCCAGCCCATCTTGACAAGGCCCAAAGTAGCAGTATTGCAGAGCTCCACGGAGTACAAGCGAACCAATACAGCCCCACCCCAGCAGAATGTCTACTCCCATCCCTGCATTTGCACAGCTTCCAGAATATATGACATAGGACATCCAGGTAAGGTTGGGTCCTCCCCCTCCTGGACATCCCCCTCCCCCGTGATGGACAGCAGAAGAGCCAAGGTCTACCCGAGGCCCCTGAGCCCAGGCCAGGCACTGCCGTATGTTCCCGCCTTCTTCCCGGCAGCATACATGTCAGGACCCGAATGTTGTTTGTGCAGTGTGTACAGGTGTCAGATGACACAAACCCCATCCTGAACCTCTGATGACCTGTATAGTGTACTCTGTGTAGGATTTCTTACTGAATTAATTGTAAATTGGGGTGTCTGATCATTTTAAAAGTTTTTAAACAAGTTTGGGACCAGAAGTTCTGGTTCTAAGCTGACTGAAGGATCCACTTCCCATTTTTCAATAGGGATTGCTATTCTATCGTCTATTTTGGACAGTGTCTTGTTTGAGATTATAGAAGTCAAATACCCTTGGTGGTGTTTTTAATTCTATTTTATTGAGCTTAAATTTTTGTTTAACTACAGATTTAATTTGATGATATTCATTTTTTTTCTTTCTTTTTTTAACCGTGTCCTGTCTGGCTGTGAAGCAAACAGAATTGATGTCTGAATGCTGGTAACAAGCCTTACAGATTTATTCTCAGGTGGAGCATCAAAGCGTCTGCTTTTAATGTCACGCCTGATAAAACTTTATTGTTATTGTTTTTTGAATGCTTTGTAATTCCGACCAGACACGGAGACAGAGGTGAAAGAGAAAGGAAAAGACAAAAGGTGGGAAGAGAGGGGGGAAGGCGGTGGGGGGTAGGGGGGTTAGGGTTACCCCCCCCCCACACACACACACACACACACCCCACCCACCCACACACACACACACACACACACACACACACACACACACACACACACACACACGCGACCCCGCTGGGCCAAAGCGGGTTCAGAAAATGGATGGATGGAGTACCATTCAGCTCTGTTAAGAAGAGCTCTTTCCTTTTGTTGTTGTGGCTTATAGTTGCTTACTTTCTTTAGAAAAGAGTCACTTTGAGCTAAGCCCTTTTGTTAAGGTCAGAGCCCTTTTAGTTAAAGACCTTTAGTGAAGGCCTTTAACTTTGTCTAGTTTAGATTTGAGTTTGGGTAAGTATTATTTCAATGGAATTTTGTTCCATTACTGACCCTTTTACCATTTTTGGATGCTCCTGTTAACCCAGAGCTGAACATTTGTAATATAACTTTCTCTCTTAGTTTGTCACCGCTGTGGTTGTAATTTAAGTTATTTGAAAGATAGATAAGTCCAGTATGGACATTGTGTAAATATTTGGTTGTGGTGTAGTTATCCCAGTGACACAATGAGTACTACTTATACCATCAGCTTGCCATGTAAAAATGGTAAGCATAGCAATTAGCAGACACCTAGTCATATAACATCATCAGAAACTGTCTAAAATTGGACATCCCTCTCAGAAAACTCCTAGACTCCAGAGGGGTATATAACAACCATCTTGCCACAGGAGATCCCCAGTATGCTGTACTAGGACCTCTTCTCTTTGGCATATACACCACCTCACTGGGTGAGATCATTCGATCACATGGCTTCTACCACTGCTATGCCAACGAAACCCAGCTCTATCTGTTGTTCCTGCATGATGACCTCACAGTCTTCGCATGAATCTTGGACTGTTCTGACATATCAAAATGGCTGAAATCCCACCATCTCCAACTCAACCTCTCAAAAACTGAATGACTTGTTATCCCAGCAAAACCATCCATACAGCACAATATCTCAATCCAAAATGATTCCTTATCTCTGGCTACTTCAAAACATTTGGGTGTTGTGATTGACAGCTGACCTTTAGAGATCACGTTGCTGCTTTCTTCATCACTTGTAAGTTGCTTTGGACAACAGCGTCTGCTAAATACATAAACAAAGAGCCTCTGCAGCAACACAACCTCAAGAAAACAGGAAAGAGGATAAATAAATAGGATGGCATAAACTGTGAAACCCAATAGGCTCAGATCAGGAATCTGATATGCAAGAAAAAACAAATGACATCATTATAATAAAATATACTTCAATAGATTTAAACGACACCAATATAAGAAGACAAGAGTCTCTGTGGGGTTTGATGAAGCACCACAAACCTGATGGGCTCAGATTAAGGAGCAGGTGTCAGCATGGTGAGGTTTCTACATCCCATATTGAAGTTTTGTTTAGTTATGATGTCACATCTGAACCAGGAACAGCTCAAGTCTTCCCCTTTGTATGGAATTTTATTCTGCGTCCTTTCTTTTTCTCCAGGAGGCATCCAACACTGACCTCTACAGGATTCATGTGGGATTACACCTAGATGCAATCACATTTAGTTTTAATATTAATAATAATTTAATAAAGGCTTGTATTGCTGTTGTTAACAGAAACAAAAGAATTGATATAAAATCAATATTAATTTTTAAATGCTCCAAATGTTTTAGAAATATTTTCATAGAAATGTGGGTAAAATATGGGATAAAGCAACTCAAAGACGGAAACAGTAAAACGTTTAGTAAAACATCAGAAATCTGAAAATGAGAACAAAACAAAGACATCTGCTCTTTAAAATCACCTCCAGTCATTCAGGCTTCTGTCAATATTGATGGGTTTTACTTTCCAGATGTGCAACAAATGACTTCAAACATTTAAAGATGCAAATAATTTCAATCTGATGTAAGCTTTAGAGTATAGTGGCATTATGGTAAACTCTTCTGAAGCATCATGACGGAGCTAATTCCTGTGTAAGTAATATTGTTTGTTTTAAGTTGCCTTTAGTTTAATAATGAACAACAACAAATCTACATGTTAAATTAAATGCATTTTAAAAACAAACACAACTAAAAATAAAGAAGAGTCAATAGATGCTAACCGAGCACTTCACTCTCAGACTGCAGGTCTACTGGTGGTTCCCAGAACTTCTAAAAACAGAATGGGAATCAGATCTTTTAGTTATCAGGCTCCCCTCTTGTGGGACCAACTCCCAGCTTTAGTACGTGAGGCAGACACCTTGTCTACTTTTAAGACCAGGCTTAAAACATTTTATTTGATAGGGTCTATGATTAAAATCTGATGTTAGCCCAGATCTGGACAAGTGGGGGAGTAGAGGGAGGCGGAGTGTACAGTCAGTAAAGACGGCTCTCCCTTGCCCTGCCTCCAACATGTCTCCATTTAAAATGCTAGGTTATCCAGAGTTATCTCTGTAGTTATGCTGCTATAGCCTTAGACTGCTGGAGGACATACTGACCACTTTCCACACTCGACTACTTTCTTCTACAATTAGCTTTTTAACTGTATTATTTCCTGCTATTTCAGCTGTTAACTTTATTTTTTCTCCAAGTGTTTTTCTCCCCAGAAGAAGCTACAATGATGTTCTGCTGAGCTGTGGTGGCCTCATGGAGGGGGCCATCGTCTTGAACACTGTTGCTAACCACTTAATCATTCTCCCTCTCCTGATAATAACATTTTACTTTCTTGACATTTAATGTGCTACTTAGGGATGAGCCGGATACTCGTTTCAGACGAGTATCCGGTAAGGATAAAGCGTTTTTGACGAGTACGAGCATGAAACGAGTAAAACTCGTAAATATCTGTAATCGTGCTGAAGGAAAATCCTCATTGGGTAACTGACTGTCTTCACACTCTGTGAATGGCCAGTCACATAGAGCACCCGCCCCTCCCAACACACAAAACTGCACCGGGAGCTCAGTCCGCGTCCGGTCCATCCAAGCACACACACACAGACAGTAACGGATCTCTCTGTGCTTGCTTCACTGTAGCTCATGTTTCTTCAGTACTCCCTAGGTTTTCTTCAGTTCGCCTCTTTTTAAAGTTACTTTAAAGTTATTTAAAGTTATTTTTTTCGTAACGTATGTGGTGCGTTTGACAAGACAGAGCTGAAAACGGCTCGTGCTGCGTCAGTCACTATCTCCGCTCCGGTCTGGTTTTTTTTTCCCTCTCTCCTCTTCCTCAGGATCCACTCCCTCTTTCCTATTCACTCTCTCTCTCTTTCTTTACATTTTTTAATCACAGTTGTCTTATTTTTTGCTCATTTTAAATATATTTTAATCATTTTCTAAATTATTTTTTCTATTTTACATGTTTTGTTTTTGTGAAGCGCCCCGTGATTTTTATCTTGAGAGGCACTATAGAAAAGATCTTTTCTTCTTCTTCTTCTCCTCTCTCTCTCTCTCTCCCTCTTTCTCTCTCTCTCTTTCTCTCTCTCTCTCTCTTTCTCTGTCTCTCTCTCAATTCATGCACTAAAATATTAATCTTCTGATTTTATTGAAAAACTTGTTCTGTAATAGTTCCTTTACTATTGTGTTCAAAAACATTTAATCTCAACCCTGAGGCTGCTCTGTAAATAGTGTTCAAATAAACAATACACATAGCAACTTCTGATCAGACTTAAAATAACGTATTGGTTAAACTACACCCATTTCCGGGTTAGGCCACGCCCACTCCGAGTACAGATACGGATACAGATAGTGGTGTACTCGCTCATCCCTAGTGCTAATACTAGTTTACCCATTTAATTATAGATTCACTAAGATAAATACAATAAAGTTTATCTCTCACCAAATAGAATATTTACTAAGAAATCACAATGTAACCATAGAAACATTACTTGGTATATATGGTGTGTGTGTGTGTGTGTGTGTGTGTGTGTGTGTGTGGGTGCGTGCGTGTGTGTGTGGGTGCGTGCGTGCGTGCGTGTGTGTGTGTGTGTGTGTGTGTCTGCTATGCCTTCTCGATCCCCAGTGAGTCGTGGCAGATGGATGCTTATTTTGAGCCAGGATTCTCTGGAGGTTTCTTCTTGTTAAAAGGGAGTTTTCCTCTCCACTGTCGCTAAATGCTTGCTTAGTATGAGGATTGCTGTAAAGTCACTGGCACTAGTCAGTGACTTGATGCAATTTGCTGGGTTCCTTTTATAGGAAACTTTTTACTGATTGGCTTAATGAACTGACCTGTATCGGAATGTTTACTATGTGAAGTGCCTTGAGACGACTCTTGTCGTGATTTGGCGCTATATAAATAAACTTGAATTGAATTGAATCTGCAGGATGAGTTGTTATGTTTCATTTATACTGATTATTTTTTCTCTATAATTCAAAAGTTTAAATCCTCCTGATTTCAGATCAGATGATAGATTAAAAGGAACACCTACAACACGTCACAGGTGTGAGAAGATGTTGTTTTCTGACGACTGATTGGATGAAGAGTTGTGACCAGCAGACGTGTCACTTCCTGTGAGCAGATCAAAACAAAAGCAGCTTCCTTCCTTCCCTCACTTCTGTCTGCTTTTCTTAGCTGCCACAGAAATAGCAGCAATCAGGCTGATCCCCGTTCAGCCGCCAGTCACAGCTGCTCTCGCACAAACACACAAAGATGGAGGCTGAGATATGGCGGAGCTGGGTGGGTGAGGGAGAGGGGGGAGGAAGAAGGAGACAGCAGGTTTTTGTCTGATGCATTTCCACCGTGGGGACATGGGGCCACGGTGATACAATCCCATAGAGCCGTCGTACAAAAACCTCCTCCCATTAACACCCATGGTGTAGAGGGCTGCAGCAGCTCAGGACGCCTGTCAGAGCAGAAACATCTGTCATCTGAAGGCGTGCAGCACGCTGGGACTCTCTGGCTCTGAAGAATCATCATTAATGCAGGAACTGAAGCAGAAACATGTTTTAGTTAAAGATCTCTGAGTTCATGTGTGGAGCGTTTGGAGGATGTGTTATTTATCTGCTGTAAAACTAAACCATTAGAGAAGATGAGGCTCAGGCTGCAGGTTGAAACCTTCCTCATCATCTGGATCATGAAAAGCTGTCAGAAGGTGATGATTCTAGAAGGTTTTGTGACTTTTTGGTGGAGGAGACTCTCGGTGTGACACTGGAGCTGAAGCTTACTTTGGAAAAGGAACCAAACTCACAGTTCTGGGTAAGTTGGACTTCTCACATGTTCAGTTTACTGAGTGAAACTCAAGCTGAAGGAAAGGTTGGAATAAAAGTGAAGGAATGCTCTGACCTGTTTATAAGTCTGACATATTGAGCTGATCTCACAACACTGTGACCTACAGCGAACCTGCTTACTTTGGCCGAGGAACCAAACTGACAGTTTTAGGTAAATATTTCACTTCTCTTGTGTGTTTTGATGGAGGAAACTTTGGTTTAATCTCCAGTCCTGACAGGAGCATCGGTAGAGATTAGTTAAAGGTCTAAATGAAAGAAAAAGAGCTTCGTGCTCAGTGTTTGTGCACCGAGACAATGCTAACGGAGCTTACTTTGGAGAAGGAACCAAAGTGACTGTTTTAGGTGAGTGAAAGATGATTCTATTAAATAAAGTCAAGTCCGAGCTTTAGCTGAAAGGGTTGATAAAGAATCATTACATCTGTGAGTATTTATTACTGGAGTCCAGCTCGCTGCTTTTTGATATTAAGATGAAGCGCTGTGCCAATTATGACGCTTATTTCGGCCAGGGAACCAAACTGACGGTTCTGGGTGAGTACAGCTTTAAAATGTCATGATGTTAAATGTAAAAACAACAGAGTCAGTAAAATAATCAGCTGGAAGCAGCCAGAGAGTAAAGAAGTGAAGTAAAAGCAGCATCTTCAGCTGTTTTCAGCACTGATCAGGTTCACTGGGACTCTGGTGTTAATGAAGCTTACTTTGGAGCTGGAACGAGGTTAACGGTTTTAGGTAAGAAACCAGAAAACTGATGAAATTCATCTCAGCAGGTTGTGTGTTTGTGTGAGAAGATCTGTTCGTCCTAAATCTGCTTCAGTTTGGTGCCTTCTGTTGTTAAAGCTAAACTCTGACAGGACGAAGTCAGGAAACCAACGGATGAGTTCAGACAAACATAATCAGGCTGCTAAAGAGGAGTTTAGTAGCTTTTAGATCATAGATGAAAACAATCAGCAGCAACAGAACTGGATTTATTACAGAATCAACATAAATCAGAAGTAAAAGCAACATCTTCAGCTGTTTTCAGCACTGATCAGGTTCACTGTGCCTTTGGTGGTCTTGAAGCTTTCTTCGGCAGAGGAACCAGATTAACGGTTTTAGGTGAGAAACGTGTTCAGCTGAATCTGTTAAAGTGTAGAAATGTTTCTAACTGAAGCTGATCTGCAACAAACTCACCGATCTCAGCTGTTCTGAGTCTCGGCTCAGAAAGTTCAAACTCGGGTCAGAACCAGGCTCAGTTTGGTCCAAGAACCAAACTGTGTTCTTGGTCAGTGAGACTCGAGTCGTTTCATCTCATGAAGGAAACATATGGAGTAGAAACGTAAAGAAGAACCAGCTGGTGGTTGTTTTGATCAGATCAGGTTCGTTGTGACTGCTGAAGCGTACTTCGGTAACGGAAACAAATGAACGGTTTTAGGCAAGAAAACCTTTAAATGTTGTAGAGATGGGTTTAGATCTCATTCAGAAGGTGTTTCCAGACCTTTCTACATGACACTTAGTGATGAAGCTGTAGTGTGTTCAGAGTGTGACAGACAGAGAGAGGCAGCAGGAAGAGTTTTGTTCCAGTCTGGAGTCTCTGTGCTCCTACAACGAGGCTTACTTTGGGGCTGGAACTAAACTCACCGTTTTAGGTAAGAAAGCTTCCAACCAACTCAGATCAGATTCACTCTCAGGTCTGACGAGTGTCTGGATCAGCACTAACATGTAGAATATTACACGTCTGTGGACAAAGTCAGTCAAGTCAGAGTAAAAAAGATCCTTGCAGCTTTTATTTGTGCCTATAAAGACGAGGTGTTGGTGAAAGTTGTTTCTGTGCAGAAGGTCTGGCTCTACGCCCAGATTATTCCTCTGTGTCGGTTCTTATCAGCTCTGTGAAACACTGAATTACAGTCAGAAGCTTACTTTGGAGCTGGAACTAAACTCACCGTTTTAGGTAAGAAAGTTCAACATTTTCAGTGGATGCAAGAATTATTGGACCGAAACAAGAAAAGACTTTTATTCATCAGAACCAGAAAACATGGATATGGTCGAATATTTGTCGTTTGTTCAGTTTGTCAAACATCAGCGAGACAAACTGATCGGAGCTGAAAGTCTGAGCTGTTTGTGCTGCAGCCGTTTCTCAGTGTGAACTATGATCCTGCTTACTTTGGAGCTGGAACTAAACTCACCGTTTTAGGTAAGAACCTTTCTGACGTTTGGGTTCAAACAAGATGAAAACGCAGGTTTAATGAGAATGAAAATAAAGACTTAAATCAGTTTGATTTGGTTGATTTTCCTGCTTTGTGCCGTTTTAAAAGCAGAAGTTTTTAGCTGAGGTGTAAAAGAGCAGAAAGACGGTCTGCAGAGCTGAAAGCTGATTTTTATGTAGCCGATTCTCAGTGTGAACAACTATGAACCCGCTTACTTTGGCAGAGGCACCAAACTGACTGTTTTAGGTAAGAAAATGAGATAAAACACCTTTTTAATTATTATCTTCTTTAAACCTGAAGCTGATTACATTTATTTATTTGAATCTTTGATTTTTGCTCAGAAAGAAACTCGTTATTTTAGTAGAAAAACATTCAGACCAACATCTTTTGTTTCTCAGCTTCAGGTTTTCAAAACCCAAAGAAGAGAAAACATTATTTTCTCTAACCCAAACCCGGTGGAGTCACTAGAAAACTCATCGTGTCTGACACACAGATGTTTAATGAGCGTGGTGAAACTTCTTTTCTCTCCTCTTCCAGAACCAGGCCGATCCCCCACAGAACCAACTGTAGAAGTCTTTAAACCTTCAGCTAAAGAGTGCAACGACCCAAACAAGAAAAGGAAGAAGACTCTGGTTTGTGTGGCCTCTGGTTTCTACCCAGATCATGTCAGCGTGTCCTGGACGCTTAATGGGGTCCAGACAGGTAAAGGTGTGGCGACAGACAGCACAGCCAAGAGGGACGGGGACTCCTACAGAATCACCAGCAGGCTGAAGGTCCAGGCTAAGGACTGGTTCAGACCTGGGAATCGTTTCACCTGCACCGTCAGCTTCTTTAATGGAACCATCACCACCCCTCATTCTGCTTCAGTTTCATGTACGCTAGTCTGAAACGATGATTTCAGATTATTATTTATGTCATAAATCCATGTTTTTCATCTGATCTCTGTTACTTTTACAGCAACTGAAACAGATAAAGGCATGACTCGAGGTGAACACATTTATCAGACACAAACATCTAGTTAGAATCCTGCTGATCCTCCGTCTCCTTAACCAGAATATTCCTTCTCTGATCTTCCTACAGAGAAATATCTGAGGATCACTCAGAACGCCAAACTCTCCTATGTGGTTCTGATTGTGAAGAGCTGCATCTACGGGGCCTTTGTTTGCTTTTTGGTCTGGAAGCTTCAGGTTTGTCAACAACCTCCGTGTGAGTTGAATTTCCAAGCTGCTAAAATGAGTTTATGACATAAACAAAGTGTTTTTCTCTTTGTGCTGCAGAGTTCAGCTGGAAAACGGAACAAGTGAGATCCGAGCTGAAGCCTGAACAAACCAACAAGCTTTACGAGGAACATTTTCTGGTTTCTGTAAATAAAATGTGTAGAAAACAGAACATTCAGTTTGTGTTGCTGGGAATTTATGTTGAAATCAGCTGATTTGACCCTTCAGAACCTGTGAGGCTTTTATTATTAGAAAACAAACAGATCTTTTTCCATTTCTGACTGTTTCTAACTCTTCATTTAAAGATTTTTTACATATAAAATGTTTTTGATCTGGTGAGGTGAGCTTCTTTCTGTTCATCACTTGTTCCAGAGCTGGTGTCAGATATTTTTATCTGCTTCTTTTCTCATAATAAGGTGAAACATCTCAGCTCAGGAAGATTTCCAACGCTGGCTGAAGTGACTCATTACAAGATTCTTCAATAAAACAACTTTTCTGATGACTTTTCTTTAATCTTTTGTTTCTTGTATAAAACAAATAATAAAAGTGTGAAAACTTTATTTGTGTCAATTTTTCTAATTAGCATCAAACTGTTTTACTAAAGTTTCCGTACTTCTGTAGCTGAAAACTTGTGAGTTTCTGTGAGTCAAACACACAACAACAGGAAGTCAGCGCTCTCATGAGTGTGAAGATGAAGGTCAGAGCTGTTGTTGGTGAGGAAGACAAAGCGGGTCATGAAACCTGAAGAGGAGCAACAGCAGAGAACAGGATGTGGTCACCGAGCAGCCTGCAGCTCGCCTCTGAGCTGAGAAACCAGCGAGGTGCCACCTTCTACCTCACCGCAACCTCCGGCTCTCTGAGTGCACCTGCATGTGTTTTAACGATACCACACACACCTATATGTGTGTAATACATATATATATATATATATATATATATATATATATATATATGTGTGTGTGTGTGTGTGTGTAAATATATATGTGTGTGTGTGTGTATATATATTGTAGCGTTATGAATATGCCATTTCTGCCCTTAACAGCTGCCCTTTGACACAGTGACAGTGTGCATAAATTGCCAAGGTCGTGCGCTTGCTTTTGATGTTTACATTCCAGCAAAGAAGACAGAAGAAGGACGAAGAACGCTTTTCCTTAGTTAATCAAAGAACTTTATTTTTAATAAAGCTAATCAAAACAACTGTTGGTCAATAATAATCAGGTGACCGATCTGTGAAATCACAATGTTATGCAGTGGCGGCTGGCCAGTAGAGGGCGATAGGGCGCTGCCCTCCCAGTTTTCCCCAGTGTTTTTAATTTTTATTTAAAAAAATAAATAAATAAAATTAACAATAATCACATATTCTAAGTTAATTGTGTGTTTTGTAACAAAAATAAATCATATATATATATCTAAATTGGTCTCTGCCGGTCTCTGCCGAGCGGTGGAGGCTGTGGGCTGTGTTTCAATCGCCCAAACAGGACGGGACCAGCCGTCCAATTGCTGACAAGAAAATCAAAGGGTAGGAATGGGAATGTATCCAATCAGCGTCGACGTTGTTTCAGAAGCATGATGGGCGATAGAGCTACCGCCAAAGGCTTTCGTCGGTGTTCGGTAGAACTCGGAGAGTCTCGACTCCAGCACATTTTTGGTCGTGACTCGTGACGGTCGTGACGCAGACGTAATAGACATGGACGCCAGTGCGCCTGCAACCAGCAGCATAGATACCGGATCTCAGCAGCCACTGAATTCAGTTCGGTCTCTTCTCCAGTATCCGTTCGAGAGGAGAACTATGGTGGAAAAACTTAATGTCAAAGAGCTTGGACCAGATCAGCCCGACGTAAAGATAAGCCAGCAGGAAAAGGAGAAGGGTAAACTGTACACACGACGCTTCTCCCAAAATTGGTACACCAGGAAGCAGTGGCTAGCTGGATGCAATCACGCTAATGCGTTATTTTGCTTTCCATGTTTGTTATTCAAAACGGCTGGGACAGATAAGGCATGGATGAGTCAGGAGTTACGGACATGAAACATTTTTCTGAGAAGGTGAAGAAACACGAGTCATCCCGGGCGCACATGGACAACACAGTGAAGCTAGCCATGCTAGGCAGAGCTAACATTGCCATGCAGCTCGACGAGGGGCACAGGCTTGCAGTGAGGAAGCACAATGAAGAAGTGGATCGGAACCGGCACATTTTGTCCAAGATAACTAACTGTGTTAAATTTTGTGGAGCAGTTGAGCTGGCTTTGCGTGAACATGATGAGACTGAAACCTCAGAAAACCCGGGCGTCTTCAGGGGCCTAGTGGATCTGGTTGCTTCACTTGATAATGTGTTGGAGGATCATCTGAAGACGGCGACAGTTTTTAAAGGCACGTCAAAGACCGTGTAGAACGAGCTGTTGGACTGTATGTTGTCAGTCATTAAAACCCACATTCTTGGAGAGGTGAACAATGCAGATTATCTTGCTATTCAGGCAGATGAGACTACAGACATTTCCACCCGCTGCCAGTTGGTGCTTGTGTTACGGTATCTCGACAGTCAGAACAGCATTCAAGAGCGTTTTCTTGAGTTCATCCCTCTTCAGAATGCAACCGCTGACACGATTTCCACAGCACTGTTGGAGAGGCTGAGCAAGATCATCCCTGCTAGAAAAGAGGGAAAACTAATAGCCCAGGCCTATGATGGGGCTGCAGTGATGAGGGGAGCCACAGGTGGAGTGCAGTGTAAGGTGAATGATATGTACACAAGTGCACACTACATCCACTGCTATGCCCATCAGCTGAACCTCATCATGCAACAGGCAACTTCACACATCCGCAGGATCAGAACTTTCATTTCAGACCTTGGTGGATTTGCTGCTTTCTTCTCCCGGTCATTCAAGCGAACCGCTGTGCTTGATCAAGTGGTGGCGCACAGACTTCCAGCAACTTCAGCAACCAGGTGGAACTTCCACAGTCGTGCTGTCAACACAGTGTATGACCACAAGGATGACCTCCTCAGATGTTTCCAGATGATCAGAGACTCGGATGACTTTGATCCAATCACTGAGAGAGAGGCAGGAGGCTTTGTGAGAATGCTGGAGGAAGAAGATTTCTGCTTTCTGCTGGCATTGTTTCACAAGATCATGCCACATGTGGACATGCTCTTCAACCAGCTGCAGAAGAGGAACATTGACTCTGTCTACATCTGACAGGGGTCATCCAGAGCTTCACCAACAGCATGCAAAAGATCAGGTACATACTTGTTTATTTAATATTATTGTGATGAACTTCTCCAGTATGTTAGCTTCACAAACAGTAATGTGGATGTGGAACTTGTGTCTCATTAGGGACTCCATTCATTCTCTGACTGAGGAATGCAGGGCATCAGTGCAGCAGCCAACAAAGAAACGGAGGACGTTTGGCCAGGGAGAACAACAGCAGCTGGGTGCAGAGGTAAGCTGTACATTACATTTCTGTAAACAAGACAATCAGAATCAGAAATCCTTGGTTGTCCCACAGACAGGGACATTTGTTTAATAACATGTACATTGTTTAATGTGCAATAACTGTAAAAACTAATTTCAACACACATACTTATTATACATATTTAATCATGTAAATGTGTATTTCAAGTAAATTTGTACATACATCAATCTGATTCCATTTTACTTGTTACACTTCTGCTGCAGCAAACAAATTTCCCAGCTTTTGGGACAATAAAACATTTCTGATACTCAATTAGATGTTTTTACATTTGAAGTAAAAACATCTAATTGAGTATCAGAAATGTTTTATTGTCCCAAAAACTGGGAAATATGACATTTGTAAGAGGATACTGATGACATTATTTACTATGAAAGTGTTTCCTATGTACTTATCTGTTGTTTTTTATTTATCATATGACAGGTTTGTGACACCATCCTGAGCCATGCAAAAGAAGATTCTTGTCACCACACCCATGACCACAGCCAAATCAGAGAGGTGCTTTTCTACTTTAAAGAGGATTAAGACTTTCCTTGAGGAACACCATGACACAGGATGGGCTGAATGCTCTTGCCATGCTCTCCATGGAAAAAAAGCTTGTCACAAACATTCCTGACTTTAATAAAAAGGTCATCGAGAGCTTTGCCACTCAGAAGGACAGAAGGGCAAAATTTCTGTACAAATGAGGTATCACACGCACACACGCACACACACACACACACACACACACACACAAATGCATCCACTTGATCTTTGTATAAAGTTGACCTTGGCACAACACTCCAGAAATATTTAACAGTGTAAATTTCTGGCATTTTGTCTAAGTAGTGTTTACTACCATTACTGTAACAGTGACCTGCTCATAATTTTTCGTGTTCACTCAAATGTTGAAATTAAATAAAATGTTTTTGTTATACCTCTTGCATTGCCTAGTTACAGTTGTGGTCAGAAGTTTACATACACTTGTAAAAAATATAATATAATGGCTCTACTGAGTGTCCCGTTATTTCTAAAACTCTGATTTTTCTCTGATAGAGTGATTGGAACAGATACTTCTTTGTCACCAAAAACATTCATGAAGTTTGGTTCTTTAATGTCTTTATTATGGGTTAACAGAGAAAAGTGATCACATTTGCTGGGTCACAAATATATATACAGCAGTGCTAATATTTGGTTACATGTCCCTTAGCCATTTTCACTTCAATCAGGCGCTTTTGGTAGCCATCCACAAGCTTCTGGCAAGCTTCTGGTTGAATCTTTGACCACTCCTCTTGACAGAATTGGTGAAGTTCAGTTAAATTTGATGGCTTTCTGACATGGACTTGTTTCTTCAGCACTGTCCACATGTTTTCAATGGGGTTTAAGTCAGGACTTTGGGAAGGCCATTCTAAAACCCTTATTCTAGCCTGATTTAGCCATTCCTTTACCACTTTTGATGTGTGTTTGGGGTCATTGTCCTGTTGGAACACCCAACTGCGCCCAAGACCCAACCTTCGTGCTGATGATTTTAGGTTATGTTGAAGAATGTGAAGGTAATCCTCCTTCTTCATTATCCCATTTACTCTCTGTAAAGCACCAGTTCCATTGGCAGTAAAACAGCCCCACAGCATAATATTCCCACCTCCATGCTTGACTGTAGGCATGGTGTTCTTGGGGTTAAAGGCCTCACCTTTTCTCCTCCAAACATATTGCTGGGCATTGTGGCCAAAAAGCTCGATTTTTGTTTCATCTGACCACAGAACTTTACTCCAGAAGGTCTTATCTTTGTCCATGTGATCAGCAGCAAACTTCAGTCAAGCCTTAAGGTGCCGCTTTTGGAGCAAGGGCTTCCTTCTTGCACGGCAGCCTCTCAGTCCATGGAGATGCAAAACACGTTTGACTGTGGACAATGACACCTGTGTTCCAGCAGCTTCTAATTCTTGGCAGATCTGCTTTTTGGTGATTCTTGGTTCACTCTTTACCCTCCTGACCAATTTTCTCTCAGCAGCAGGTGGTAGCTTGCGTTTTCTTCCTGATCTTAGCAGTGATGAAACAGTGCCATGCACCTTATACTTACAAACAACTGTTTGCACTGTCGCTCTTGGGACCTGCAGCTGCTTTGAAATGGCCCCAAGTGACTTTCCTGACTTGTTCAAGTCAATAATTCGCTTTTTCAGATCCATGCTGAGCTCCTTTGACTTTCCCATTGTAGCGTTTGTGGGCGTTTGTATCCAATGAGCCCTATTTACCTGGCCTAAGAGAAGTCACCAGCTGTAGTCACTCATAATCACTCACAAGAAGTTAAGAGGTCATGCTATGAAGCTCAGTTCACTGACACGTTTCTAAGTCACCAAAATTGCTAGATCATGTTGCTGTATGTATATTTGTGACCCAGCAAATGTGATCACTTTTCTGTGTTAACCCATAATGAAGACATTAAAGAACCAAACTACATGAATGTTTTTTGTGACAAAGAAGTATCTGTTCCAATCACTCTATCAGAGAAAAATCAGAGTTTTAGAAATAACAGGACACTCAGTAGAGCCATTATATTATATTTTTTACAAGTGTATGTAAACTTCTGACCATAACTGTACCATTTATGGTCATGTTATTTTATGTGCAATTTAATGCAGTATTTTTCAACCTTGGTCTGCAAGGCAGCGTGCCAATAGTCAGACATACCTGGATTAATCAGTTTGTCCAATGATGTAAGACAGGAAATAAAAGAGCTGTGCTTAATTCAGGAAATAGTGAAGTTCTGCACAAAGCTCAGAAAGCACAAGTTTGTTTAAAAAAAAAATAGCACAGCCCCACCAAAAATATTTTTCACCAGCCGCCACTGATGTTATGATTTATGTGTTTAATGAATAACAGGACCTTGGGCTAACTGAGCTAGACATCCTGATCCACATAAGGTAAACACATGACATATTGTTCACTCATCCAATCAGAACTTCCTTTCTGATGCGGGCCAGAGTTCTGTGGTGTTTAGTTAATCTGTCCACTCCGATTGGCTAAGAATCATAAACAACTAAGCTTAATAAAACAGAACAACGCCATTTTAAGGCAGTTCCAACGAAGTTTTTCAACGTAGTTCAACTTGGTTCTACGCAGTTCCAACCAAGTACTCGACCAGCTCTCAAATCCATCTGATGTCCCTCATCGCTAAGTGAAGTACAGACTGGCCGGCTGTATTTTCTACTTTTAAGCTGAGAAATGTCAAGCTGGAAAATTCTGTCGTTTTATCAACAAGACGACTGTTCCTTCAGAATAAAAGCTGAACTCTACGTGACGCTGAAACCTGCCGTTGTACTGGGAGTCTATCCATAGACTGGTTTGTCGTGCTGCCGACGCTGTTTCACCAGTTCTAGCACCAAGGAGGGTCCGAGGACCTGACATCCGGATCTAACACGGGAGTCTCCTCACAGTACATAGATCTGCATAGATGGCGTCTCATGTCTTCCTCCTGAAGTCCCTCGGTTAGTTAGACACAACAACATCTGCACTCAGACTTGCCGTCACCAGATGGCGACTCTGAACTGACACACACACACCAGCACTTCAGCATTACATTCATCTGCATCCATCATTAGAGAGTTAGTCCTGGTGATTGTTTCGAATAATTATAAAATAAACATTCTTAAACGTCCCACCTCTCTCTTTTCTTGTCTCTAAGTCAATACAAAGTGTTTGAATAAAATTCCCTGTGGTAAAAACAACCTCTTCTGATTCTAAGGGCCCGGTCCAAAGATTAATGATCCAGATCAGGTTTGAATCAGTGATATCTCTGGACCTTAAAAAAAAGTGTAAGAATATACCAACTATATTCCGCTACTATATCTATATCTATATCTATATATATATCTATATATATCTATATATATATATCTATATATATATATATATAGATATATATATATATACATACATACATACACATACACACACACCCCTATATGTATGTATGTTTGTATATATATATATATATATATATGCCCTTAGGAGCCATTTTCAGAAAGCACGCTGTCTCATACCATCTTTACGCTGACAACTGTCAAATCTACTTTTCATTTAAGCCAACTCAATTAACAAAAGTTCTGTCTGATTGTATCCTTGAGGTCAAGCTATGGCTAGCTGATAACTTCCTCCATCTTAATGACTCCAAAACTGACTTAATCGTTTTCAGTCCTTACAGTACCACGGCGACTCATCAACCTGACCTCAACTATCTCTCACCTAATGTATCCTCTGTAATCTCCAACCTTGGAGTAAAAATGGACCAGGCTCTGAAGATGGATGCCCAGGTCAATCACAGTTAAATCATGTTTTTACCAACTAAGACGCATCTCGAAACTAAAGCACATCCTGAGTGTCCGTCTTCTGAAATCGGTGGTCCACACTTTCATCACCTCAAGGCTGATTACTCTAACTCCTGCTTATACGGCATCAGTAAAGCAGCTCTTTCTAGACTTCAGCTGGTCCAGAATTCAGCGGCTAGGTTGCTGACTGGAGCTGACAGAAGACAACACATTTCACCAATTCTGAAATCTCTCCACTGGTTGCCCGTGCAATTTAGGATAAATTTCAAAATGTTGCTTCTGACTTACAAATCCTTGAACCGTCAAGCTCCTCCATATCTGTGTGAACTTGTCCATTACTGTGTAGCGTTAGGAAGTTGATAATGGTCTGCCTTAACAGCTGCCCCCTCACACAGTAACACCGCCAAGGTCGGACGCTTGGTTCAGTATGTTTACATTCCAGGAGAAGAGACAGAAGAACAGAAGAACGCTTTCCATTGATTAATCAAAGTACTTTATTTGTGATAAGCTAATCAAAGCATTTGTTGATCATTAATAATCAGGTGAATGATCTGTGAAATAAAGATGTCATGAGTTATGTGTTTAAATGAATAAACAGGGCTGCACCAGTCACACTGATATGCATTACCATGGAAACGCATGACACATTGTTTTCAACCAATCAGAACTTTTGTCTGTCGTAGGGCAGAATCTGGTTTGTTTATGAAAGTAGTCCAATCTGGTTTACTAAGATTCTTAAACAAATGGGAGATATGAAAAGAAGGCAACGCCATTTTAGGTCAGTTCCACGTCAGTTCCATGTTAAGCAGTTACATGTTAAACTCAGCTCCAGGACATCCGAGTTCCTAAGGATTTCCATCGTCATCATTAAGAAGTTCAGACTGGCCAGCTGTACTTCCTACTTTGAGCTGAAATCTGTCAAGCTGGAGATTTTCCGTCGTTTATACCAATGAGACGGCGGTCCTTCAAAATAAGAGTGAACTTGCTGACGCCTGCCAACCACTAACGGAGTCATCCTCAGACGGGCGTTGTGTGCTGTGACCGCTGTTTCAACCAGCTCCAGTACAACCAAGGTCTTGGAACCTGGCAATTCCTGATCTACACGGGAGACTCCATCTAAGGTACGGCAAATGGCGGCTCATGTCATCAGCTTCTGAAGCCTCGTGGTAGCCTAGTCAAAACAACCAGATTCGCTACGTCAGCCTAGAGATTCTGAACAAAACACACACACACACACACACCCACACGAAACATCTACATCCATATGCATTCATCATTGAGATAGTCCTGGTAGATTGTAAGAATTTATAATTATAGAAATTAAAGATTCTTAAACGATCCCAACTCTCTCTCTCTTTCTTGTCTCTCAGTCAATACAAAGTGTTTAAGTAAACTCCCTGATGATAAAAACAGCCTCTTTTGATTGATTACTTAGATTGTATAAATATACAAAATCAGGTAATTAAATTATCTAATTACAGTATATAAATATACAACTTCAAATCACAACAACTACAACCCGCCGCATGCTCTCAGGTCTGAAGATAAGCTCCTCCTAGCTGTTCCAAATGCACGTTTAAAAAGCCGTGGAGAAAGGGCTTTCTCTGTTTGTGCACCAAAGCTGTGGAACGCATTACCACTGCTAGTGAGGCAAGCACCAACAGCTAGCATTTTTAAATCACGTATGAAAACTCACTACTTCAATCTAGCGTATACCACATAATTATGAACCTCACTTACATCTGCACTGTTTAAAAATGGACTTCACAATATCAACTTCCGTATTATTGGGGTTCTTTTTAAAATGTTTTTCTTATTTTTTATTTTCTCCCTGTGTTTTATTGATTTTTAACTGTTAGTTCTAGGAATCTTTTGTTTTTCCTTTTTATCTTTTATCTCTGTTCTACATGACTGTCTGACGCCGGTTTAATTAACTAACATTTTTAGTGTACAGCGCCTTGTTTGTTGTAATGCCTTGTTGAATGCGCTTTATAAATAAAATGGTATGGTATGTATGTACATATAGGGGTGTGTGTACATATATATGTATATATATATATATATATATATATGTGCGTAAATATATGTGTGTGTATATATATATATATATATATATATATATATATATATATATATATAGTCACGTTTAGGAGCAGGAGGTTAGGACCCAAGATGCAGAACCCAGGATGACAAGAGGCAGGAGTGGATATGTAAGTAAAAATCCTTTATTTGGAGGAAGAACAAAAATAAATCCAAACGGCAGGGAACCAAAATCCAAAAATCCAGGGAGTCAAACAACACAAGAGGAACGAGCAGACTGACAGAACAAATAACGCTGACAAACAACAATGGGCCGACAACAACAATGAGACAAGGAGGGCTTATATAGACAGGGAACAGCAATTAGGGAAACAGGAAGCAGGTGTGTGGAGTGAGGCTGGAGGGAAGGTAGGTGACAACAATTATCTGGATGGGGAAGAGAACCAGTGGAGAGCAGATAAACCTAACACTATATAAAACACACAACTAAACCTAAAGACTAAGGGAAGAACTCACACAAACACATACACACATACAATGAACTGGGGAACAAGAGGCTGGGGCTACAACTTAAGACACACAACAGAGATGCAGACAAAGGACACATGAGGGCGCCATGAGACACAAAAGGGAATCCAGAGAGGGATGGAGGACATAAGGAGACACATGGGGAAGACACAGACGCAAACCATGACATATATATATATGTGTGTGTGTGTGTGTGTGTGTGTGTGTGTTATTTTTAATTATTTTATTTAAATAATTTTTTTCCATTTACTTAAAATTCTGTTTTCAAGTAATTGTGCTAAAATTTAAAGGCACACTTGGCAGTTTTGCTTGCTTTTAGAAGAAGAAGAAGAAGAAGAAGAAGAAGAAGAAGAACAAAAGACATTTTCTACAGCGCCTCTCAAGATAAAAATCACGAGGCGCTTCACAAAAATAAAAAATGTTTAAAATCAGGTTTTATTACTAATTGAGAAAATCAGCTGGAACTGTTGATGGAAACTAGTTGAAACTAAATGACAGGAGATGTCCAGAAAGTTGTGTGTGTGTTCATCAAAAACAAAGGAAAGGAATTTTATTTACGTTACCCAGCTATTACCCCAGATGGGACTTTCCTGTTTCTCAGGATGTTTTATAGAGGACGTTATTGTGGTCTGTATAATGATGTCACCCCGTCTTCTTTAGAAGCGTGTCCTCGCATGTGCAGCTGCTGATCAAAGTGGACAGAAACGGAGATCGGTGCTACGACTGCAACCTGAGCGATTAATATGCATATTTCCTCACGTTTGCCGTAAGATTTATGTAATTAATCAGATTTTTATCTTACTTCCTCTAAATAAATTTTAGATCAGATATTCACTGAAAACGGACAGCTTGACATCTAATTTAAAAGCAAGTCAGGCAGGGTGGCTCGCTGGCTGATTCCTGGCAGAGTAACCTGGTGACCCCTGCAATAAAGTTTCTCAGTATGGTTTATGAAAACTGAATGAAAACTCAAACATCAAGACATTTTTATTTTAAGTTCAGGAAAACACTGGATACAATGTTCTTTCTAATTGGTGGCTGTGATTTTAAAAGCAGAATATTCATGTTTGCATCCACTAGGAAAACAAAATGAAAGAGATGAGCGGCACCATCAACAGCAGCAGACCACCAATTGGACCGCTGGCACTGTTGCAGAAGTTGCCCTGGCAGCAACTTACGTCGATTCCAATCATGTGAGCGGCTTGTGCAATCGCATCCCCAGAGCAAAACTGCTTGGACGTGCAGCCTTTTAAAATCTTAGTGACCCCTTCTGCAGTCCCTGTAACAATTATACCACATGTAAATAAGTGACTAACGGTATGAAGGTGTGGAGAACAGAGGAAGAAGGACTCTTACCTGTAGCTTTGACGCAGTGGTCCTCACTCCCCTCACAGTTCAAAGGTCGTGTGCAGTCAGTTCCTTTGCAGGTGAAACACTGTCTGCCATTAGAAACCAGGCTGGAATCTGAACAAGAGAAACATTTTTATTTGGCAGAATGAAACAATTTCTTTTCTTTCCTTTTAGACGAGTGTTGCAAAAGGAGTTAAAGCGACCAATGTGGTTCAATCAGCTGCTCAGCATCGACTCTAAGATAATATGTAACCATGCTCCTTCACAACTCTCACATAATTGCATTGAAAATAAATGGAAACAAAATTAAAGCTGCCTAATACCTGAAAATGTGCCTTTATTTGTTCCCTTATAGGTAAAATTTTTGTTACTAAACCTTATTCAGAACAAGTAGATAAGTTTAGGTGCTTCTCAACAAAATTATGTATATTTTTTGTTTTGTGTATCCATATATTATAATTGCATTAAACTTTGCATGTTAACTTTATTGTTTCTCTAAGTGTTTTTCTCCCCAGACGCTACAATGATGTTCTGCTGAGCTGTGGTGCCCTCATGGAGGGGGCCATCGGCTTGAACACTGTTGCTAACTACTTAAACATTCTCCCTCTCCTGATAATAACATTTTACTTTATTTGACATTGAATGTGCTACTACTAGTTTACCCTTTAATTATAGGTTCGCTAAGATAAATACAATAAAGTTTCTCTTTCACCAAATAGAATATTTACTAAGAAACCACAATGTGACCATAAAAACATTACTTGGTATATATGTTGTGTGTGTGTGTGTGTGTGTGTGTGTGTGTGTGTGCGTGCGTGCGTGCGTGCGTGCGTGCGTGCGTGCGTGTGTGTGTGTGTGTGTGTGTGTGTGTGTGTGTGTCTGCTCTGTCTTCTCGATCCCCAGTGAGTCGTGGCGGATGGCTGCTTATACTGAGTCAGGATTCTCTGGTGGTTTCTTCCTGTTAAAAGGGAGTTTTCCTCTCCCCTGTCACTACATGCTTGCTTGGTATGAGGATTGCTGGAAAGTCACTGACACTAGTCAGTGACTCGATGCAACCTGCTGGGTTCCTTATATAGGAAACTTTTTTCTGATTGGTTTAATGAACTGACCTGTATTGGAATGTTAACTGTGTGAAGTGCCTTGAGAGGACTCTTGCCGTGATTTAGCGCTATATAAATAAACTTGAATTGAATTGAAAAATTTGAACCAATAATTGAAGGCTTCACCATTCAGATACAGCAGAGCATTCTGCACAGCTTTAAAAACCACAAAGATCAACTTTACAAGGGGCTGGTTTGGCGTTGCAGAGGTTCCCAGTGCAGCAGCTGGTGTTTATCCTGGTTTTGGAAATTCCAAAGTTGACTGATCCTTCGAAACAGTCTTTAGCCTGGGTACAACTTTTACCTGTGATGTCAGAGATCTCTGAATCACCTAAAACCAAAGAAAAATTATTTTAAAGTTAATCAGCACCAAGCAAGAGACCAACAACAAGAAACAACTCAATAACATACCTAAAAATGTTGTTACTCTTGCAGCAGCACATTGGTAATCCTGCGAGGGACATTCTGATGTTGTATCGGTACAGCTTCCATAAATGTTTGGTAAACACTCATAACATTGAAGAGCGTCAGCTGATACAAACAATGACAACATTTGTTTTACTATTGTAAGAAAAACAAGAATGAAATATATGTTGAGTCATTATTGCTAAAGATCACAATAAAAGGTAGATTATAAGCCTAGTAGCAAAATATGTTGTTTGTTTGTTAACTTAAAAATGTGTTACAGTGAAGTCAATTAAGAAAAGAAAAAAAATATGAACCTAATTTAAGACTTACCTGTTGGAAGAAGCCAAAGCCCAAGAACCAGAGTAAAGAAGTACATGTTGTCTGCAGCATTTAGTTTTATCAAGCTTATATAAGAAGTTCTCCTGAGGGGGTGTTGTTCTTCAGCATAAGACCACTCCTCCATCCCTCCTTTAATATTCATGTTGTTCTCAGTAAAATTCCCATTTGTTTGAAACTGAACATTTTCTTTCGTTTTTGTTGAATTTCCTTCATTTTTTCTGACTGTTTTGTCATTGACATGAAAAAGTTACTCATATCTAAATGAAAAGGTGAAACATTGTTCATTTGGCTGTTGTTGCAGCCAAATTTGCATTTCAAAGTTAAACCTCCTGAATGTTGTTTTTAAGTTCAGTCAGAGAATGCCATTACTGCCCTTTGATCTGCATTCAATAAAGTGTTAAAAATGGCCATGTATTTTTTTCGAACATTTTTTAAATGTGTAAGCACAATGTTTCAAAGGAAATATTGCCATGAGTTTAGTAATTAACAAACAAATTTGCTAAGTACATAAATAAAAACGGGGTGCAATAATATTGCATATCGCAATATTGAGCTGCCCTGACTCACCGCAGGGGGAATTCCTCAATCGCGACAGCCCTAATTTCTACGACTAATGATTATACAGAATAACTGAATGTAAATGACTGTTGAAGGTAGTATCAACTGGGACAATAACCAACTCTAATGAAACATGATCTTGGACGTTATCAAGAGTCTAATCAGGTGTCATAGAAAAGATGTGAAGTCTGGGATTACAAGAATAATCTGGCTGAATTTACTGATGTTTGAATCTTAACCCATCCAACGCCAGTATGCAGGACTACGATACCAGTGGTGAGGGTTCCTGGAGATCCAGCTGGAAAGCAAAGTCATCTCGACACATCTGACGAGTGATTAGAACTTCTGGGGATTTCAAAGGTCAGAGGCCCTTTTGAGTCCAGCACGGTTGGTCAGTAAGAGACCCTCTGGTACTCCTGCTGGAAGCTGATGGAGTGGTTTCAGGTTAAAACAAATGATGGTTGTTTGGATTTGAAAAAGGGTGGTTCTATGCCGCTAAAAAGTGTTTTGTTTCGTTTCGTTTTATTAAAATCCTCATTAGCTTCTGCCTAAATGCAGATGCTAGTCTTCCTGGGGTCTCGTACATTTTCATACAATTGTTTACATAAGATAATACCCGCACACACACACACACACACACACACACACACACACACACTCACACACACACAATCCCTAATTCATATAATCCCAGTAGCTCAAGATGAAATCACATATCTAGAACAAAATTATATATATAAACTAATACCGGGAAAGGGGTTAATCACACCAAATAAAGATTGAAAATAAAATACAACAGAATGGTGACCTCATGTCCATTGTTTCGTATCAGTTCATCGATATCCAGTATTCAACCTGGTGTTGTTGTAATTATAATTTTCCTCTCAATTGTTAACAAGAAATACTTCAATCTACTCTTCACATTGAGCCAAGCAAGTTTTTCATGCATAGTTCCCACATTTGTTCTGCAAGGGCAGCCTAAAACACTACGAGCAGGTTTATTTTGTGCTACTTGTAGCTTATGCAAATTATTTTCACTTCTACACAAGAAAGCACTAATGATTGAACAAGGCATTTAAATAAGTATTGTGGTATATATTTGCAACTAAATTTAATTATGCCCATACCTCTCCCCATTTTCTGTAAAACATAATTAATCTGGCTTGTCCATGATAACTTACAATCAACTATTACTCCCAGTAATTTTACTTCTTCTAGTTGTTCCATTACGTTGTTACTCAGAGTTAAATGTAACTTTGGCATCGTCTGTTAAGTATGTTTGGAGCCAACTACCATGCATTTAGTTTTTCCTGCATTAATCACTAGTTTGTTAGCAGTTATCTGTCACACTTGCCAGCGAATGAAGCGGAGAATAGGTGAGGATCCAAAACGGGGTGAGGAAGACAGGCAGACGGGTAGGAACGTTTGACAATCATTTATTTGGAGACACGCTGGACAATGAAACAATGATCTGACACAAGACACAGAACAGAAGGGGTCCAAATACACGAGGGCCGGGAGCTAAATTGATTGGGAAATGAGAGGCAGGTGGGAGCAATCAACAGAGACACAAGGCAGAACCAAACGGGGAGACAGGACAGGGTGTGACATTATCCACTGCTCGACTGTTCTTAACTCTTTATTTAATATTTCATTCAATGCACTCTCCGTATGTGCTGAAGCTAAAACAGTAATGTCATCTGCATATACTGCTGTAGCATCAACATAAATATACTGTAGTTGCATGTTGCAGCCCCCCTGGAAAATCATTTAAAAAAAATTGAAAACAAAAGAGGTCCCAAACAACTTCCCTGTGGAACACCACATTCCATCTGACCTTTTTCAGAAAAACTGCCATTGAAATAAAATTTATAATCTCTATTAGTAAGAAAACTTTTAGTCCAGTTGAGAGCAGATGTATGATATCCATAGTGTTTAAGTTGTTGTAATAAAATATCATGATCTAAAACATCAAAAGCCGCGCTTAAATCAAGAAATATAGAACCAGTTAGCTTATTATTATCGATATTCTCTAAGCAATAATCAGTTATTTGAATAAGTGCAGTAGTGGTTAAATGATTCGTTTTGTAAGCATGTTGATATATTGTGTTCAATTCATATACCTCAAAATAATCTTGCATTTGGTCATATGCATTTTTTTTTTTCATATTTTTAGTTAAAGCTGGTAGCAAACTTATTGGTCGACTGTTTTGACCAGACAGTGGTTCTCTATTGTTCTTAATTAAAGGTATTATTTTTGCTGTTGTCCATTGAGATGGGAAAACACCTTCTTTAAAACTTCCATTTATTATATGAACAATAGGACATGAAACAAAATCTACTACTAATTTTAACAATTTGATATCAATATTGTGATGCCTATCTCCAGCAGTCAACGGGCAAGTGGGCAGGGTACACCCTACAGAAAGATCCCAGGCCAGGAATCGAACCCAGGACCTTCTCACTGCAAGGCAACAGCTCTAACCACTGCGTCACTGCATAGACCCATGTAAATTAAAACTTTGTAAAATTTCTTGAATATTCGCCACCTTATTTCTCAAACTGCACACATTCAAATGAGCTATTTTAAACCCCTTTTCCCGCAACCAAACATGATCTGGCATCCAAAATCTAGAATAAATTCCTGACTGCAAAAATCATACTGAGCTTCCTGTAACATTTTTATCATTTTACCAAATACAATCATACTGTCTTTCATCTCAAACTCAAACACTGTAATGAAATAAAACATTTTTATACGCCAACTCTAGACACATAAATAACCAAATTATATAACTCTTATTATGTGGGCTATCATTTCCATCTTGCGGTGTTATTTAACATTTATATAAAAATTAAACATTATCCCCACATAACCTAAGCAGTTAAACTCTCTAAACTGTCTTTGATTAGTCCATATTATTCTCCGTCCTTCTTCCCTGGTTCAATCACAGTCTTGTAGTAAGCTTCAGCCTCACTCGGTTCATTGAACCTTTTTATCTCATCTTTGAAAGTCAGAATCAGGGAAGCGGGATGAATCAGTCCATGTCTCACCTGAGCCTTCTTTAGCTTACTCCTTATTTCGCAGAAGCCAGCTCGTTTTTCGCCATTTCACTGGTAAGATCTGGAAACATCTTCAGCTTCATACCACGCAGTTGGAAAACACGTTCTTCTCTGGCCGTCTTTATAATCTCCTCCTTTGTTGTAAGCCTCCACAGCCGCACCATCATCGCTCTTCCTACTGTGTCCCTCCTAGGTCCAATCCAGTGCGCCATCTCCACTTCTGGCTCCCGCATAAGTTTTCCTCTGAACAATTCTTTAAACAGCGTGTCCATATAAGTAGTCAGGTTAGTTTTTCCAACGTCACCAGACAATCCGAACACACGAAGGTTGTATTTGCGGCTCTGTATTTCAAGCCGCTCCATCCTCTCTCTCAGCTCGGCATTGGATTTATTCAGCGTAGCATTCTCCGACTCCAGCTTTGACATCCGACTGTCCAGTTTAGGTCAAATCTCCTCCACATCACCCAGTCTTCTCACACAAGTAGAAATATCATCCATAATCGTGTTCAGTTTATTAACCACAACGCTGATCTCTTCCTTTACAACGGAGCATATCAACTCAGATATTTCTTTTCTGTCACCATGCGCACTTGCCATTTCTCCTTGTCCCACGTACTGAGACTCGTTGTCGTTGTTTTCGTTTTGTTTGCATTATTGCTTCATTGCTTCACCTTCTTAGGGGGCATAGTACTGCCAACTGTCACATATGTTGATTTCACCAACTAAAAACCATTTATCTCAGTCCAGCACAAGCCCCCACATTGCGGCTCTAAAATTGGTCTCAACCCGGAAGTAGCAAAAATTGCAGTTCCACCCTCATCCGCTGGGGGCTGGTGTCAGAAGTGAGCAAATCCTCATTGACTCCCATGTTAAAAATACCAATTTCACAGCAGAAATAAACATGTTTACAGCCTGGTACAAAAACATGTTTTTTGTTTAAATTATCTAGTTTACACTCATGACAACTCTGAGGGGGGTGAATTTTTTTCTCACTCTTCTGTTTAAGTGTATTAAAAGCCTAAAATTCTGTATAATTAATGAGCATCCGACACACGTGACCACAGAGCTAGCTCCGAGGAAAGGCCTCAGTAGAGCCTCGGTCTGGCTTGGAAACTGCTCCGGGATTTTGAGTCTCTGTGTTTGTGTATTCTTTTTTGGATATTTTTTGTGCAATTGCTGGACAAAATGACTTGCTGTGGCATTAATTGCACTAATAGAGCGTCCAAGGAGTCTGCACTTCATTTTATTTATTTCTGATCGCGGTTTTTGTGTGTTGCGTGGGCTGACGGCTGGTTCTCCCCCCAGCTCGGCGCATCTCTGTCTGATCGCGGCTTCTGTGTGCTGCGCGGGCTGACGGCTTGTGGAGCTCTGGGATGGAAACCTTTCCACCTGGTTCTCCCCAGCGGCAGCTCTGCGCATCTCAGATTGCAGAGGCGCTTGTCTGCTGTGCGGCTGTCGGCTTGTGGCGCTCTCGGGAGACCTCTGTGTTCCACCCGGTTTTACCCAGCGGTCAGCCCGGCGTATCTCTGACTCAGAAGCTCTGGTGTTGTGCACAGTTAACTCCTGTTTTAGCTAGGTTGCTACCTCCGTTAGCTTAGCTCCCACCTCCGCTTTAGCTTTGG